TACAACAGTGAGTCCCTGTGTGAATTGAAAATTCACCCGGCAGGCTCGCTTGTTGACGAGCTAGTTTCAGTATGATGAAAAGAGTCGCAAGTAGATTAGCAGAGAATGGTGCGACAAAATGAAAATATTGTACGACTGTAGTATATATTTGAACTGATTGAGAATAACGAATTACACACCAAACGCGTTGTTCTTCATAATCATCGAATAAATCGCGTTGAATGAGTTCATAACTCATCGTACCCAAAATAATGAGTGGTAAAATGCATAGTGTCCGTCGTGCGATACGTCTACTTTGTCTCATGTTAAAACTAATTCCTTTGAAAACTGCTATGGCTCTTTCTATGCCTACACAGGTATTCAGCCAATTACTCATATATAAGAAAAATCGAAGCATCGGTTCGAAAAGTATACATCCAGTTAGACGAATATTACGACTGATCGATTGATCTATATAAGTATATGTTACAAACCAAAATTTGATGATTAACATACTGACAACCAGAATAGAAATGATTGATGAAAATCGAAGATATATTCCACAACCTACTTTACAAGAATCTCGATCATGAAAGACAAGATAACTAAGAAAACCATTTACAGTACCAATTAGAAAAATAATCATTATAAGCGTTGCACTCAGCTTAATAACCAATGATTGATCATTTAATGTATTATTAGATCGAATTTCATAACGTAATAAATCATCTAATGTCAGTCCAATTCCTTTGGCATAAAACTGACATCGATCACCAAAGAAACAATCAGAACATATACATAGAATATTAAGAAAGCACATAGGTCGATCTCGTAAGCATGTTCCACCATTCTCACAATAACCATTATCTTCACAGTCAAAAGTATGTTGATGTTCTAATGGAAAACAGTTACTATGATGTTCTTCAGTACACAAACACATGTAGAATTCATCGACAAAACATTGTAGATTAAAATCATGTTGGCATGGAATATGATAGCTTTTCAATCGTTGAATTCGTGGTAATGAGAGTAATTTAGTAGGCAAAAGTTCATGAATTGGAACACATCGTTGGGCGGGACTGATGGAGGTTCCTACGTTGGATGATACAAGTTTTCGTAGTACAGCCAAATAATAACGATTATCAATCTTGACAATAACCATTTGAAACTGAGTTTGAGAATACAGGGTGATATTGCTTTGAAACATTGTCATTTTTCGGAGTATAACAAGTGTTGGTGGTGACCGTTCGAAACTAATTTCAGTGTAAATATAGGCGGATAAATACAATGGAGTTTCGATATTTTGAAGAGAAATATCTATTCTATGTTTAACATTTTCGCATCTTGGCCCGAAAAATTGTTCAGCACAAGAGCACGTATAACTTTCATCAATCATTCTCTGATCGATTACCGTACAACGACCATTATTTTTACAGAATCCTGTCGGACATACTAGTTGAAGGCGACAAAAGGAACCGAATTTTCCGTTAGGACAAACACAGATTGATCGATTTCGAATCGAACCGATACAAATCGAATTTGATGCACACATACTACAATCGATTGGAATGTGACATTGTGCATCGGACCAACCTGAATTACATTGACAGAAGAATCGTTCTTCATTATGATATTTCATACAAGTACCGTTATAGCATTGAAGAGTACAATTTTTCGGATCGAATATTCCAGAAATTGGAATAGTTAAAAAAGCACTTATCCGATTGACTGGTAAAAAGACGAACGGAATCGTTAAATGCCAACTTATTAGATATGTCAATGAATCTTTATTGAATACATCGATACGAATGCTGTAGTTTTTTGAATTATCCTTTCCACGCTTTGCATATAGCAGATAGAGATCCATAAATTTACCACAATGTTCTAGCGGTACAAAAGTGAATTGATGATATGAATGAATTTCTTGTTGATCGTTATCATTTTCTATCAACATAACAATAATAGCATAAATAATTCGCTGTTCAACAGCTTCCAATGCTAAGGTTAAACTGACACGTTGGTTTTGATATTGACATTGATCACCATAATAATTCGGTGGACAAAAACATATACTACTGTAATTGTTGATTCCAAGTCGATGGTACACATATAAACCAGAATTACAGATCTCAAACTGTGTAATACTCTTAGCCGACGATGAAGTTATCATTTCATTATGAATCTGATTTTCAATGGATTTATCCAGAATAGTATACGACGATGGATAATTTAATGCAGTTTCTAATGAAAAATATTTATAAGCTGTATTAATGATTCGACATGAAATGTCCCGCATATCGATAAGATTGTCAAAATTATAGCCATTACATAATCGTAGACGGTCAACACAAAACTGATAATTACCATACCTTAAACAAACTTGGTTTCTATTGCAAAGATTTTCATCTGCGTTACATTTCGTGTCATTCGAACAATGCAATCTGTTCGTTTGAAAGTGCTGAAATTCATCAGATGATGCTCCAAAACAAGCGACGATTTGATTAATGACTTGACCGGCTGGTAAACACATCTGTGTATAATTCTGTGGCGAAGTACAGTAAAAGAAATGCTTTAATGTAATTGATTGCATACAATGTTCTTCATCCTGTCCATTAAGACAGTTTCGAAAACCATCACAACGTGTGTAGATATTATTGCATTGCCAATCTTCACAATCAGTTTCATCGGAATGATTTCGTCCACCAATCAACACCACGGGCGAATCCTTGATTCGATCACATATTTTATAAAATGGAATATCATCGTGATTTATCTGTATTGTAAGAGAACAAAAAATTGTTGGGAAAAAGCGCGATCGACACTGTTTCTCGTTTGGACATTGAAATTGAGAGTTTTGATTTAATAAACAACTTAATTCAGATAATGCTTGTTCATCATCTTTCAAGAAGCAATCTGATATACCATCAAGGATTCGATATTTAGAAATATATTTCGACGAATCCTTACAATGATATAATAATGAATGATAAGAATCGATGATCTGATAATGTTGTGTAATACAACCATCAAAGTATGGTTTAATTGAATCGATAATTGATTTCCAAGTCATCAATTCAGCATTCATTATAAGGCCCATTTGATTAGCAGAGCGACAAGTCAAAGTACCATGACGAAATGTACGTGTAAGAAAATCGCATAACTGTTCATCATAACAAATATAATCAGGTTTGAGAGATAATGTAACATTAATATTGTCAATCTCTTTTGGATGATATAAAAATCTTACATGACCATAGAGTACAGGGATAACCGGAAATTGAAGAGGAAATTTGCAACTTTTTAATTGTTCGATGATCTTAGAAGATTGAATGAACTGTTCACATGATATATTCTCAATTTTGTCCATTATTTTCGTAAGACAAACCATGCTTATCCAACATTCGTATGATAAATTTCCTTGAACACTAACCGATTGAGCCAAAGCAAAATGTCGATTATTTTTACATTGACCATAATCTTCTACACATTGTCCATCACCACACGAAAATTTACCTTCATCAGGTCGACAAATAAATTCTTGACATTCAAACAGATAGAAATTGAAATAAAATCTTGCACACATAGGTTCAGCTAAATAATCTGATCTATCGAGACATTGTGCTTCATAAGAATCCATTTCCAAAAATTTTTTTGGAATACACAATCCATTATGGCATCGATATTCATTTTCATTGCATTCATTAATTTCTAAATTAAAACATTGAATTTCATCAACACCACCATTAAGACAGTCAATTCGACCATCGCATATCTCACGCCAATCAAGACACATCGATGATCCACCACGATCACATTCTAATAGAATATAACACGTTCGATGAAATATATTATCAGTTAAAGCTGTTTCAAAGGAATTTTGCACTAATTTATCTTCATTAAATTCGAATGAATATTGACATTGTGATCCAAACCATGGTTGTGTACAATTATAGAATTTTTGATTTGATAGATTCGATTGAGTTGGTTGATCAAGATAATACGCATATTGTTCAGCAAGATCAATTGATGATGACCACATGAGAATTTCATGTGGTGTTACATTCAAATGGTATAATTTATCGAAAGTCAAATAATCATCGGATATATTAAAAAATTTAACCATTATCGAATTCGTATCATTTTTGGGACGGATACAATATTTGACTACTTCAGAAAAGTCATAAAAGTCAGTTCCAAAATAATGCAAACAATCAAATCCAAATTGATCGGTATCATAAATGATTGATTGTAAGTCATTAAATGTACATAGAAAAACTATTATATATAAAAACGTTGACATTATTCAAATCTGGGCTTAAATGATAATGATAACATAGTTAAATGAAAGATTTAACATAGAGCTCTCCTGATAAATATTAACAATTGTCTAGCTGCATTGATAGCGTTTAGTATTAGATGTATGATTTTTTTCTCTCGATGCGACGTGCTTTGTCGCAATTATAGAAAAGTCATTTGATACTCATTTTTATTCTTTTATGTTGGAATTATATATTAGTATTACTGAAATAAATAATAAAATCATATATTTGAATAAATTCAGCTCAACTACGTAGTTGACTTCACTGCTATATCATTCTATTTTATTCAATGCTAAAAAGACTTGGAGCTGGACTTGAGGGTGTGGATGTGGGTGAATGGGTGTGAGTGTGGGTGGATGGATGTGGGTGGATGGATGTGGGTGAATGGGTGTGAGTGTGGGTGTGGGTGGATGGGTGTGGATGTCGGTGAGTGTGGGTGGGTGGGTGTAAGTGTGGATGAGCATGGGTTTAGGTATTCTCTTAACCTTTATCCTCACCCACACCTACACCCACACCCACACCCACACCCACACCCACAGCCTAGTTTCCTAAATTTTAATTTTATTTTAGTAGGATCAGAGTAAAAATCCTAGTCAATGCTTGCTAATAAAAAATGGTAAATGTGTGTAAACCCATATAACACTCGCCAAGCCATTAACAATACTCATATTACAACATTTTTATATGTGAAAGCATGATATTTAACATTAGTTAACATTGATTCAACCTGATTATCAAGACAACAATGAAAGCATGATGAATTGGATTGAATATTTAAATTATCGTCTATTGGAAGTAAATCACGTACCAAAAAGCTCTATGACTTTATTAAATATGTGACTTGTCTAAGTTTTTTTTTTAAATAAAATCACGCATTCTGAAAAGATTATATACGTTCAATCTCTATTCCGCCATGAACTGTCTAGTAACGATAGAGGAAAGAGTCGGGAGAATAATTTTTATGAATACACTAATATTTTGTTGAATATCGTTAGCATTGTTCATGCTTTCAGTTAATTTAAACTCAAGTCGATGTAGAATTTTGCGAACTACAAACGATCTTCATCGATGTTGATTATTTAGAGGGTATTGCGATTAGATGATGAGTTCACGTTAGCCAGATAATTGAAATGAAAGGATTATAAGAAAATTGCAAACAATTTAATCAATTCATTTCAGTTATATGTATTAAAATGAAGTTTTGCTAAATATAATCAATTTTTAATATCTGCCTTTCCGTGGTATTTTTTAGTTTGTATCATCTTATAATATGCAAAAATTTATTTTTTTAGAAAGAGGAATTTACCATGCTCTTATATGACTGTATTTTGCATGATTTTCAACGCAAAAGACAGGCACTGATCACAGATATAGAATTGTTCTTGTTTCACACTTTTTAGAACAAAACTGTAGGATATTAGCTAATTTAAATCAACCAGAAATAAACTACAAATGTTACAAACACTTCAAACTTCTAAAATGATTTAGATTCACTACGACTTGTTATATATATAGTTTACTTGGGGAGACGAAAAGCATCTGATAACCGTGAAACTTCTTGAGGCTGTGGGTGTGGGTATTGTATGTATATTACATTCACACCCACACCTTCGAGTTTATTCTTTCGGATAAAACAATTAATAATGAGGAATTCAATATTTCGAAATAATTTTCCTTTTCATTCTATTTTCTTCAAGTTCAAGCCGACTGATTTTACATCAATCGCTTATTTAAATACATTTAATACACATCTTTGAGAAAAGTTCAAGAAAAACCTTGATCATAATCACGTCCAAAAGTATTAAATTGCTCAGTGAAGTACAGAAAATTGAATAGATTAATGACATCTTTTCAAAATTTCATTTTATTATTCAATAAAAATTACAATATCATTTGTATCTGAACTATTAATATAAAAGATGAAAGATTAATAAAATTCTCATAATTCATCTTCCTCAAAGAGACTTAATTTTCATTCAATGTCAATGAATATTAAATTATTTTCATGATGAAGATCTCTTATCTATCGAAAAAAAGGTTTTCTTCGTTCTTTTACTACCTACTAGTATTTATTGACTGTGACTCATTTTGTTTTGTATAAATAAATACACAGACAAAATTATAACAAATATTCATTTCTTTTTCAAATTTTTCAACAAATGGCAACAGCAAATAATAAAACACAATGTTTTGTGTGTAACAAAGAAAAAAATACATACACTTGTAAAGGATGTTCGAATGAGTTCTGTTTTCCTCATTTAACAGGGCATCGACAAAGAATCGAGACACAATTAGAGGAAATTATTAATGATCATGATCAATTTCAACAAAAACAAAATCCACACAGTTCTTCCTTAATCCAAGAAATTAATCAATGGGAAACAAATTCAATTGAGAAGATTCGACAAAAAGCAGAAGAATGTTGAGAAACAGCGATGGAATTGACACAAAAGTCGATCAGTGAGATAGAAAAAAAGTTTAGTAATTTATCTAAGAAAAGAAATTAAAAGAAATTCGTGAAGAAAATGAATTTAATGAAATTGATTTAAATAATTTTCAATTAAAATTAACACAAATTACAGAAGAATCTCTTCAACCATCAAATATTTCTATTCAACAAGATTCACAAGAATTTATCAAGAAAATTTCACTTATTTCATCATTCGGTATGTTTATTCGATTATTTCATTTCGAGAAAAGAGAAAACGAAGTATTTTCTCAAGTTTTTTGTATCACAAATTAATTTTATCAACGAGATTTAAAAAGAAAAATTTCAAATGTTGAAAATGAATAAATATAAGATCGAGAGAAGTTTAAAAATACCTCATATCTACATGATTTGAATCTGTATTTTGAGGATATACTGAGATCTGTCAAAGTATTCCAATATGAAAGCAACACTGCAAAATTATTATTTATGAAAAAAGTTAATCGGTGTTAGTAGACAGTGTCAAACGTTAAAATCTCGTTTTATTATTTTACATATGGATCAAGATATTTTATTTGAAAAATCTCTTTTAATATTTTAAGGAAAAAATTATCTTGCTTTTAAATTGTTAAATAAATTCAAGTTAAGTTTAACTCTTTAGTTTAGAATTTTCAAATAAAAGCATTATTTAATCTATTAATAAAAAAGAAGTTGTTAATGAATTTTAAATAGATCATTGAAATAAACTCAAATACAAATTTTTCTTCTTATTTTTGCCCTTTTTTATCGAAAAATAAAAAAAAAGATTTGAATAAAAAGAAAATCTTTTTTTATTTTAGAAGAACTTCAAACAAAAAAGAATAAATTTCAACAATTTGGAATTACTGTTGCTGGAGAAAATGGACAGGGTGTGGATGAGTGTCGGTGTGAGTGCAGGTACGGGTATGGGTATGGGTGAGTTAAGCATAGAGATACCCACACCCACGCCTCATATTCTATCGATAAAACATGTTCTGTTAAACTCCAATTATAATTAAAATATATTTAAAAAAAACAACTGTATTAATTAAAGACAGAATGTTTTGATATATCCCAATCCATTTTAAATTCTTGTTTGCCTATAATTATTATATAGTATTTATTACATACCATTTTATATCGCCAAGCAATCATAACAAAAATTTTGTCTACACGTTTTATGTCTGTTCTGTGATTTTTTAGTTAACATCATTCTTTTTTCTTTCAATAAGTAATTACAAAATCAAGTCAAAACCAATAATAAAACAAACACCTACTCATTTGATCGAAAGAAAAAATAGAAACACATCATATAACTAACATATACAGGTATACAGCACATATTTCAACAATATTCAACAATGACAAATCAAACCATCGCTACCTTCTTAACATTACCGGTGGAGCTTGTCTACCGAATAATGGATCATCAATCTGATCTTACAATGTTATGTTCAATGAGAAACGTGTGTCAACGATTGAACAACGTCGTAGACAGTTATGAACGATATAAGGTAACCTTTTTTTCTATCATCACAGCGTAAATTTTATCTATCAGCCTTCAAATTATTTTTCATTCACACAATCTCTATTTAAATATAATAACTTCAATAATATGTATGAATAAACTTTGTCACTAAAAAATAATTCATCATTTATCACTCTCTCTCAAAAACTTAATTTTTTCTATGATGACAATATAAAAATAATATCCAAATAATAACGAAAAAAATAGTTTTTTTTCTCGTTCTATTCAATCTCTTTTGAATACTCCACGTTTCAGACCGAGTATGATGACATAAACATGTAACGTTTAGATAAAAACGAAAGAAAGAAAAGGAGACAATATTGTTAATTGCTTATACTTGTATTTAGCCACGTTTTTTCTTATACTATTTCGATAATAAAAATAGTATTTTGGAAGAAATGCACGTTGTATAAACTAGTTTATTTTGTTACAATTAATGTCTTAAAAATTCTGTTGAGAAATATCTCCGACGAATGTTCTCCTGAGAGCACAGACGACTATGGATATGCATGACGGTGTATGTGGATGGCGAGAACATTCACACATAACATTATTCATAATGGATATTTTTTGTACAACAATTTAACATCTTCTCGTCTTCTACTCATCATGAATACAATATTATGAAATAAATTGTCTGAATCTTCACTTTTGATAAATCAACGTTGTTTCATTAATAGAATCGTATGTTGCCATTGAACGCAACAATCAAATTCAATTAATTTTTACACAGATAGACACGAAAGAAACTCGTTCATCTACCACTCACAAGAGACTATCTTTAGTCGTTCTAGAGAATACTATCAGACGATCTGTCATACTTGCTAATGCTCTAAACCGTTATTACCAATGCTTCACAACTACTTTTAGCCAATATAATTTTCACACTATTATTCATTTACCAAAACTTCTTCCTTCGTCCACAAACATTTCCGAATTCAGGCAACTCATAGATCAAAAACTGCTATCCATGCAACACCTTTAGTGACTTCGTTTTAATTCAGCTTCTTCTTCCACACTCTTCAGCACTGTATAGAATCTAAAATCCTAACAATATTCACACTCATATCGATACGGTCCTCCATCCAGTCGCATCAACATATATTACATTGACCTAACAGAAGATAGCACCAAACAACAGTTCCTTTCTCTCGCCCATATTGTATCTATATATGCACTTCTTCATCTAGACCCTCACTACGCTAGTTCTTCCATGGAATATAATCGAAGATGTTCGAACCAAACATTTGGCTAATGTATTACAACACAACACGGTAATCATCATTTTCTCCTGATCTGTACTATGCCTTTACATGAACTAATTCATCTAGACACTTACAACACTAGATCTCCAATGGAATCGAATCAAAGCTCTTGGAGCAAAACATTTGGCTGATGGATTACGACATAACACAGTAATTATCATTCTCTCTTCACTTATAGCATGTCTTTCTCTGCACTTTTTTATGCAGACACTCACCACACTAAATCTTCGAAATAACGAAATCCAAGCCGTTGGAGCACAATACTTGGCTAACGGATTACGTCATAACACAGTAATTAGCATCTTCCCTCCAACTAGATCATATCTTTACCTGCACTTTTTTATCTAGACACTCGCCACACTAAATCTCCATCATAATTCAATTGGGGATGATGGGGCACAACATTTGGCGGACGGATTACGATATAATACAGTATTTATGATTCTCTCTTGATCTACGGCATCTCTCTACCTGCACTTTTTATGTAGACGCTCACCACACTAGATCTCCAGTGGAATATAATACAAGCTGTTGGAGCACAACATCTGGCTGATGTATTACAACATAACACAGTAATTAACATTCTCTCTTCATCTATACTATGTCTTTACCTGCACTTTTCCTTCTAGACACTTACCACACTAGATCTCCAATGGAATGGAATCGGAGATGTTGGAGCACAACATTTGGCTGATGTATTGAAACACAACTCAGTAATTATCATTGCGTCTCCATCTATGCCATCTCTTTATCTGCACTTTTTTTATCTAGACACTCACTACACTAAATCTCGAATATAATTCAATTGGAGATGTTGGAGCACAACATTTGGCTGATGGATTACGACATAACACAGTAATTATCATTCTCTCTTTATCTACACCATATTTTTACCTGCACTTTTTCATCTAGACACTTACCACACTAGATCTCGGACGCAATGAAATCGGAGCTGTTGGAGCACAACATCTGGGTGATGCATTACGAGTTAACATAGTAATTAACATCCTCTATTCATGTGTTTACCTGTACGTTTTCATCTAGGCACTCATCATACTAAATCTTGGAAATAACCAAATCGGAATCATTGGGGCACAACATTTCACTGATGGATTACGGCATAACACAGTAATTATTATTCTGTGTTTATCTATACCATCACTCTCCCTGCAATTTTTCATCTAGACACTCATCATAATAGATCTTCAACATAATCAAATCGAAGATGTTGGAGCACAGCATTTGGCTGACGGATTGCGTCATAATACAGTAATTAGCATCTTCCCTCCATCTGTATCATATATTTACCTCCACTTTTTTATTTAGACCCTCACCACACTAAATGTCCATCATAATTCAATTGGCGATGACGGAGCACAACATTTAGCGGACGGATTACGATATAATACAGTATTTATCATTCTATGGTCATCTATGCCATCTCTCTACCTGCACTTTTTCATGTAGACACTCACCACAATAAATCTCGGAGATAATAAAATCGGAGATGTTGGAGCACACCATTTGGCTGATGGATTACGACATAACACAGTAATTAGCATTCTCTCTGCATCTATATCATCACTCTCCGTGCACGTTTTCATCTAGACACTCATCACACTAAATCTCGAAGATAATCAAATAGGAGCTGTTGGAGCACAGTATTTGGCTGATGGATTACGGCATAACACAGTAAGTATCATTGTCCCTTCAAATATACTATGTCTTCACCTGCGCTTTTTCATCTAGACACTCATCACACTAAATCTTGATGATAATCAAATCGAAGCTGTCGGAGCACAACATTTAGCTGATGTATTAAAACATAGCACAGTAATTAACATTCTCTTTTCATCCATAGCATGTCTCTACCTGTACTTTTTCATCTAGACACTCATCATACTAAATCTTCAACGTTATCAAATTGGAGATGTTGGAGCACAACATTTTTCTGATGTATTAAGACATAACACGGTATTTATCACTCTCTCTTCATCTGCACGATGTCTTTACCTGTATTTTTTCATCTAGACACTCACCACACTAAATCTCCGAGGTAATGAAATCGGAGATGTTGGTGTACAATATTTGACTGATGAATTACGATATAACACAGTATTTATTATTCTCTCTTCATCTATACCATCTCTTTATCTACATTTTTTCATCTAGACACTCACTACACTAGATCTCCAATCGAATGAATTTGGAACTGTTGCTCTACAACATTTGGCTGATGTATTAAGACATAACACAGTAATTAGCAGTCTGTATTCATGTATACCATGTGTTTACCTGTAGGTTTTCATCTAGACACTCACCATAATATATCCCGGAGATAATCTAATTGGTGATGTTGGAGTACAAAACTTGGCTGATGGGTTACAATATAATACAGTAATTAGGATTCTCTCTTCATCTGTACGATGTCTTTACCAGCATTTTTTCATCTAGACACTCACCACACTCCATCTTGGAAACAGTCAAATTGGAGATGTTGGAGCACAACATTTAGCTCATGCATTACGACATAACATAGTATTTATCATTGTCTCTTCAAGTATACTATCTCTTCACGTACACTTTTGCATCTAGACACTCATTATACTAAATCTCCAACACAATCAAATAGGAGATATTGGAGCACAACATTTGTGTGATGTATTACGACATAACACAGTAATTAGCATTCTCTCTTCGTCTATACCATGTCTTTCCCGTACTTTTTCATATAGACGCTCACCACATTAAATCTCGATGATAATCAAATCGGAGCTGTCGGAGCACAATATTTGGCTGATGAGTTACGACAAAATACAGTAATTAGCACTCTCTTTTCTTCTATAGTATATCTTTGCCTGCACTTTTTCAACAAGACACTGACCACACTAATTCTCCGAGGTACTGGAATTGGTAACGACATCGAACGTGAAATCAATGAATATATGGCACGCAATGAAAGTAGAAAACCATAAAAGTTACTATCGAATGTATTTCGATAACGGACACATAGCTAGTGACGGTGGTAGTTATTTTTTATCGTGTAGTGTAATTTTTATAAGCACCATAAATAAAACCGCGTTTTTTAAACTTAATCTGTGTTTTGATGACAATGTTTGGTTAGTGCTTTTGTTTTGACGGGAAGGAAATTGTGTAAAAGAAAAGAATGGAATTTTTAGAAAAGTATTTTGTGACACTGCAGCAGGTGCAAAATCATACACAGATTGTATATTATAGTAGTAAAAATTTCATGGCGTGTTCTCACGTCAGTGAGGATGAAGCGGAAAATGTTTAGTATGGTGGTCGCAAAACTCTCAATGATCCTTCTTGATAAGTTCTAACAATAAAAAGTTCTTTGTGATAATAGTAAAACCCTGAGAAGTTATTCTCAGTAATGCTGATGTAAAACGGTTCTGTTGGATGATATTGAACCAGAAAAGTTTTTCTCCAATAGTAGTGAACCGTGGGTGTGGGTGTGGGTGTATGGACATAGGTGTAGGTATTCTCTTAACCTTTATCCTCACCCGCACCCACAACCTTTAATATCTAGTAATTCTTTTTCATTTTCTAATTGACGTTCATTTTCAGCTTCATCTTTACTTTGTTGTTCAAGATAAGATCTTGAAACAATAGCTAAGATTAAATCAATTAAATAAAATGAACCAAAAAATATAACAGAAAGAAAATATAAAAAATGATAACGACCAGCTGCTGATAAAACCTAAATAAACATTTTATTTAAATAATTCAAATTTCTTTATTTACTAATTGATAAAGATTTTTCTAATAATCTTGTGTCATTCATCGAAAACATAAAAGCATAACCCAATCATAATTATCAAAACTATAAAAATAAATCAAAATTAAAATTCACCTTTTATATCCAAAATCGGGACTAGAAAAAATTAATTAATTAATTTAATAATTAAAATAAGAAAAAAATTACCTTTCACCTCGATCTTTCCAACCAACATAACCATTAGGACATTTTGTACTTCTACTTGGATTACCACAAAGTAAATATAGTTCATCTTTTTCATACCAATAAAGGTAAATAAATTATTTTTACAGTGAATATTCAAAATAATAAAAAGACAATGAAATATTATTAAAATTCTAACTATAAAAGATCTAATTTGTTTGATAACTCTCTACATACTTTCATTATTCATTTGTTTTAAATAGAAATTATATGAAATATTAAATCCAATATTGGAATTATTTATAAAAGATTCATAAGTGGCTACACATTTTTGTCGAAGAACGCCCATATAAAGTTGTATTCCAATCTATAATAATAAAAAAGATTTTATCGAATATTTCATTTTTTTTGTAAATGTTCAACCAAAGCAAATATGGAAAGAATAAAAGCTGATAAAATAGCAATATCACTTAAAGACCTAAATGATTGTATTAATGAATATACAATTGTTTTTAAACTTAGAAAAATGAATGAATTAATTATTTTAAAATATAAAATAATTAAACCAGGTACAACTGCAACAGTTTTTAATGCTCTTAGTACAGCAACTTTTTCCAAATTAACAAAAAATGCAACATAACTAAAATATAAAAGTATTTTTCTATTTAAATAAATCCATACGCAATTGTAATAACAGTAAAATCCAATCAATTCTATGGATCACATAAAAATGTATATATTCCTATAAATACATATCTAGAAACATAATAATTATTATTAAGAAGAAATTAAAATCATATGACATACTCAACCGTTTCCGGTACATTTTTAAATGTCATAAATATATAATTAGTTATAATCGAAAGCATAAATAATGTACTAAAAAGTGAATGTGTTAATATAAGAATAGCTAAACGTCGAGTAAAATTAAATGGATAAAATATAAAACAAGCTGATGTTGAACTAAATCGAAATATCGTGTGATTTTTATTAATAACGACAAATACCTACAACGATTTTAATAGAATTCTACATACATATTCCGTACAATAATAATTATTGATTTCTTCAATTGGTTTTCCAATAAGTTCCCTAGGAAATTTATTTTTTAAGATTCTTGGTAATTTTTGTCCAACAGCTAAATCTTTATTAGCTATTCGTTTTTGTTCAATTTATTCATCGGATGACGTTAAACATTATTATCTTTATGTATTGATTGTTGAGAAGTAATACGTTCAGCTTCTTCTTCTTCTTCTCAATAATGTTTTATATGTTCAATTGATTCATGAGTAAATTCGCGAAAGATAATCGAATCATAATCCATTTTGATTATTATCATTTACTCAGGGGTGCTGGCTTAACATTAGTATTAGGAAAATGCTAATACTTATGTATTAACTTCAAAAAATAATTTAATGCTTTGGTATTAGTATTAAATAACTATCAGTCTAATGCTAATATCTACGACATTTATGTGTGCTGTTTTCAAATGCATTGTTTGAGTCCTAACATTACACTCTATTTGTGAACTTCTTATATTACTTGTTATAGAACAGTTGTATATACTTCTGAAAAGAAAACAGACATGATGACTGTAACGGAAATGAATGAATGCATATAAACAATTCTCTTTCTCGTAGAGAAGAGTTCAATAAACATAAATCGTCTGCTTGCTTGCTTGTGTGTCCACAGGGTCAAAAAAACATCGAAAACTCATTTTTCCAAAAAGACATTTCTAGACGTATTTCAATGCGAGGACTTGGAATCTAGGGGGTCTGTTGAGTGATCATGGTGAGGGGAGGGGGCGAAGAGGGTGCAAAGGTTAAAAAAACATCGAAAATGTATTTTTCACGGCTTTCAATTGTTTTTTCAATAAATGTGGAGAAAATGCATTTCTACGAGAAAGAGCTAGGTGAGTCCTCGTACGAGCGTTACTTATGAATCAATATCTTTTATTGAATAAATAAAAGAAAAATGTAACAACAAAAGTATTAAACTAATTTCTAGTGCTTCTTAATTGAGCTTATGGTTTAGACTCTATTCAGTCGTCGAGTCCTCCAATACAATTCAGAATAATTGTATCACCACGTTGAGTCCAACCTTCATCCGAAGTGTTTGTGTTGAGACTGACTATATCTAATACGCAAGGCAATAGAAAAAGAAACAGAACAAGAGAAAGATAAATGTGGTAAAGCAAGGGAGGTTATTGAAAATTATGTCTATCTATTCTCTTGGCACAAATATCAATATTTCTTTAATTTGATTTTATTCTATTGACATTTTTAGATATAAATCTATCTATAATCAGTCATCATGTCTGTTTTCTTTTCAGAAGTATATACAACTGTTCTATAACAAGTAATATAAGAAGTTCACAAATAGAGTGTAATGTTAGGACTCAAACAATGCATTTGAAAACAGCACACATAAATGTCGTAGATATTAGCATTAGACTGATAGTTATTTAATACTAATGTCAAAGTATTAAATCAATTTTTTAATTCTAATACCAAAGCATTAAAATTAGTATTAGATATATCAAACTTAAGAATTTTAGAATAAGTTGTCTACATACTTAACTTTGTCTATTTGCATCTCTGGGTGTGTCTCTCCTTTCTTCTATGTTTTGACACTAATAAAAACGTCATAGATAATCAAACGTAAATAAAGAAGAGAACATGTTTTCAAAATATCAAACAGAACTATAAAAATAACATCATTCTAACCAAGTGGAAAAATTTCAATATACATTTTACTACTTTTCATCAGAACAATAAACGAGATGATCTATAACAATTCTATATATAATAATTTTATTTTAATTGTTCAGTGATTTTGATAAAAAAAATTACAATTTTTATTTTTCACATAGATTATTCTAGTCTAAGAATAAGATCTTGAATAAAATATTAAATTATCTAGATATATCGTGTGGTATCATTATGAAACTACTTAGAATTATCGCCAGTGTTTATAATTCACATTGACTAGTATTATAATCAAGCTGTAATACATTAAGTATGTATTTTTTGTAGTTTAAAGACGAAATTTGTTATTAAATATCGACATTTGGAACATTTCTATGTGCTCATCTTGTATTTTATTTTTGAAATAAAATTATATCTAAATAACATACATATCACGATTAAAGTTTGAATTTATTTATCAGTTTGTTGTTCGAGGAGTTTCATAAAAAAAACAATACTATATTAACTAAAAGTTGATTTTCTTTTGTTTTATGAACAAAAATCAAAAGATTTCAAATATTATATAGAATTTAATGTATCAAAGAAAAAAAAATAACTTAATCATGTCGAAGTGTCCAAAGTATATGTTAATCTGATGGAGAACAATAAAGTGTATGGACCGTTGCATCTCTTGCTTTGAAAAAGTTTTGTTTTTTGGATCGTTCAGTTGAAAATAGTTTTACAAGCTGAATATTGTGCCAAGAAAATAGAGGGACATCCTTTCAAATAACCCCCCACCCTTTTTTCTATTGTTCAACATTTATCTTTTTCTTGTTCTGTTTCTTTTTTCATATTCTGGTTTTTATGATATGCTCAGTCTCAATATGAACGCGAGAGGCGAAGGTTGACTCGACGTGGTGAAACAAGAACTATTCTGAATTGTATGTATAGACTCGAAAACGGAATAGCGTCTGAACCAGAAGCTCAATCAAGAATCAATAGCAACTGTTTTATTAGTTTATTGTAGTTACAATATCGTTGTATTTTTCTCTTATCTATTCAATAAAAGATATATATTCAGTATATATTTGATTTATTCACTTTTCGTTACAAATATAAGGGTGTGGGTGTTGGTGTCATATTCATCTCACACCTACTCTCAATAATTTACAGTCGAGTGTTCGACGAAAAATGAGCAAGAATGTTGATGTTCAGACCGAGCTAACACCGATTAAATTTGATGATAAAGAGATGAATTGTCGACGACACATAATGAACGAAGAAGAAACATTTAATCTAAGTCATATGTTGATAATAACAGAGAATTCGGTGATGCACTATACGACTCTATAACAAGAGATTTTCGCAATTGCGCTGATAGTAATGTCGGTCTCTGATCCATATATTTCATTTATCTATTCTCTAAATATTTCGTTTGTCTATCCTTCATATATCGTGTGTATCTATCCTTCATATATTTCATTCGTATATCCTTCTTATCACTTTCGTTCAGACCTTGCCTATGCACGCTGTCTATCTCGTTCTAAGGCCACAAATAATGGATGCATATTAAAAAGAAGGTGAGAAAGAACGCAAAAAGACAGTTGACGAGTAATGTAGTATTATATTGTGTGTTTAATTTCGTATATGATGTGTGAAGTCGTCTGTATATTCAAATAGAGATTTATAGTATTACTTCATATTTAATATATATAATATGACCCATTCCAATAATGTAGAATCTATCACAGCAAAATCAAGTTTAGCAAGTGAAAATATCATCAATGATATTAAATCAGAGGTGGATCCTATTGTCGGATACTCTGAAGAGCCTTTATTACCACTTTCCAAAGCATGTTCTCCATTGAATAATATTCTTCATAATTTATCATTTTACGTTCACATGGCACTCGATGAAACTCCAGAAGTGCCACCTGATGGACTGACAATCGACGAGAGCGCTGCAATTCGTCTCTATACAATTGAATGGATAGGACCATATCGAAGCCTTTATTCGATGCTCAATTACACTCTCAAGAATCATGACCGTGAGAATCTTCGACCTTATTTTAAGTATTTGAAACTTTTTTTAACTGCTCTGGTCAAATTACCATGTGTTCCACCATTAACTGTTTGGCGAGGAGTGACAAAAAATGTGAGTGATGAATTTCCACCTGATACTCCAGTTACTTGGCGAGCATTTTCATCGTGCACAACTGCATTGCCTGTATTAGAGAACGAGATGTATTTGGGTAATACTGGCAGCCGAACATTATTCTCTTTGGAAATTATTAATGGTCGAAGAATATGTGCTCATTCACATTTTGTTACTGAAGATGAAGTTCTTATTCTTCCTGGTACTCGCATGATAGTTCAATCGCAATTTAGTCCGGCACCTGAACTTCATATTATTCATTTGAAACAGATCGTACCCAAGGAAGTACTATTGGAACCACCATTTGAAGGTAATTTTAATATTTTCAATCACTTATTTTTAATTAATAGTATTTTTATATTTAGGTGCACTTCTTTATCCAAAACCTGAGTAAGTCTAATCTCGTATTTTCTATGAAACATTTGTTTATATTTACAAGACGCCCTTGGTATCATAAAAAGAGATTTATCATTTCAATCTGTTTATTTATTACTCTGTTTATTGGAGCAATCATTGTTGGTACTGTATTAGGAACAAGATCTAAAATCAATGTAAAAGGTACGATTTTTTATATTCTTAATTTAGTTCAAAGGCAAGCAATTATTGTATCTTCTCGTCCTTCGTTTATCAAATCTTTTTTTCAAAAATATTCACATTTTTAGCAATATTCGTGAATCATAAATGCCGATTAAAATAAATCACGATCGGCAATCGATTTGTTTTAAATATTTTCGTGTCATTTTATTGTAGATTTCTTATTACTTTTTCTATTTTCTATTAAGTAATCCGTCATACAATTTAAAAATCATAAAATATAACAAATAACTCGTATTACTAGGCATGAGTAATAACAGAATAATCGGAGTCTTAGTAAATAGTTTATTATTATTCCGCAATTTGAGAAGAAACAAAAATTTAATAAAATCGTCACTGAACGTTGTTTAACTTCGCAATGAAATCACGTCTTTCAATGGAGCCAACGAGTCGGAAGTCTTTATTAGAAGATTTTTTAGATTAATAAGTTCGAAAAATATATTAAATGATGTTCTTAAATGAACATAGCAGTTCATAATTCACTTATGATCTTTGCTGTTTAGTGTATTTTTTAATATTCTCTTCATTTAGTGCCTGTATGTAACAAGCCTTTTACAGGACCAAACTCCTATAAGACTAGAGGCATACCAACTTCTGCAACACTAGGCCACTTTAGAAATGACAGACAACTCGATGTGGTAATAGTCGATCAACGAAATAAAGACGTTGCTATGGTTTTTAACAACGGAGACGGAACTTTTTTGACTCCAGGAAGTTATGTAACTGGTAACAATCCTGCATCTGTAATATCAGCTGATATTAACAATGACAACAAGATGGATTTAATAGTGGCCAGTCAAAATAATAATATCGTTAATGTGTTTATTGGCTTTGAAAATGGAAACTTTCAAACTTCAATGAGCTATATGGTTGGTGCCGCACCTTACTCAGTCATCGCAGCAGATTTTAACAATGATAATAAACTAGATCTCGTAACAGCAAATCTAGACGATAGCAGCATCAGTATACTTCTTGGCAATGAAAATGGAGGTTTTCGAACACAAAGCAAATACACAGTTGGTAATGGACCACAATCAGTAATATCAGTTGATGTCAGCAATGATAATAAATTGGATCTGGTAACAGCCAACTTTCCTGATAATACCATCAGTGTATTACATGGAAATGGGAATGGAGGATTTCGAAATCAAATAAATTATATGGTTGGTAATGGACCACGATCTGTAACTTCTATTGATTTCAACAATGATAACAAACAGGATCTGGCAGTGGTCAACTACTATGATAACACTGTTAGTTTGCTACTTAACAATGGAAATGGAGCCTTACAAATTACAATGAACTACACTGTTGGTAATGGACCACAATCTATTATATCAGTTGATATCAACAATGATAATAAATTGGATCTAGTAGTGGCTAACTATCTTGACAACACTATTAGTGTATTGCTTAGTAGTGGAAATGGAAAATTTCAGATTCAAAGCAAGTATACAGTTGGTAGTGGATCATACAATATTATATCAGTTGATTTCAACAATGATAGTAAAATGGATTTGGCAGTGGTCAATTCGATTGATAACACCGTCAGTATATTGCTTAGTAATGAAAATAGAACTTTTCAGACACAGACAACATTTATGGTTGGTAACGGACCACAATCTTTGACATCTGCTGATTTCAATAATGATAGCAAAATGGATCTGGGAGTGGCCAATGCAAATGACAATACCATCAGTATACTATTTAGTAATGGGAATGGAGATTTTCGGACTCCGGACAGTTTTGCAGTTGGTAACAGACCCGTGTCTGTAACATCCGGAGACTTTAATAATGATAGCAAGTTGGATCTGGTAGTGGCTAATTCCAATGATAACACCGTTAGTGTATTACTTAGTAATGGAAATAGAACCTTTCAAAATCAAACGAACTATATGGTCGGTAGAATACCTCAAACTGTGATATCAGCTGATATCAATGGTGACAATAAACTAGATTTAGCAATTGCTAACTCTCACGAAAATACCATTAGTGTGCTTCTCGGGAATGGAAATGGCAGTTTCCGAACTCAAAGCAAGTATACAGTTGGTAGTGGACCTTATACTATCCTATGTGCTGATTTTAATAATGATAACAACCTGGATTTAGTAGCAGCTAACTACGGCTATAACACTGTGAGTATCTTACTCGGAATTGGAAATGGAAGTTTTCAAACTCAAAGCAAGTATACGGTTGGTAATTCACCACAATCTATTGCAGCCGCTGATTTTAATAATGATAGCAAACTAGATCTAGCAGTTGCCAATGTGATTGATAATACTATTAGTATATTACTTGGAAATGGAAATGGTAGTTTTCAGCAGCAAAACGTGTATATGGCTGGTAGCAATCCAGTCTTTATTATATCAGATGATTTTAATAATGATAATCTGTTGGATTTGGCAGTAGCCAATCAATTAGAAGATACCGTTAGTGTTTTTCTTGGAAATGGAAATGGAACCTTCGAACGTCAAAGGAAATATGGAACTGGAAGCGGACCATCTTGTATTCTATCAGGTTATTTAAATAATGATAGCAACGTAGATCTAATTGTGGCTAACGAACATTCTGGAGACTTGTCTGTTTTCCTGAACAACTGCGACTAGTTAAACAACTTATTGATATTAAAGAACTGATTGTTATACATGTTCTAGGAGTAACGACGAACTGTAATAGAATACTATTTCTCTATCGTTTTTTTTCAATTCAATGTGTTACAAAATTTATGTATTTAAATATGTTCATATAATTTAATTTTGTTTCTCGATTTTTTTAAATAGTTTTCTTTATCTATGTACGTTGGATACAGTTACAAAGAAGATGAATTTGATCATCTTCTTACTTCTGAGCAGTGTTACCACCTCTTCTGCTTTTAGCAGAAAAATTCTGCTTTTTTTCTGTTCTTTCTGCTTTTTCAAAAATATCGAGTCATTCATATTTGTAATCAATAATTATCATATAAATGATCATTTTTTGAATTTTAAAAACAAATTTTTACTAATGATGACTGATGATATTATTTAATCCTAGTTCAACTTCTATTATATAGCTCCAGCATTCTAGTGGATAAAAATGAATCGAATGTATATATTTTATAGTTATTCCATTCTTTATCTATTTTTCTTTTATCATTCTTCCCGTGATTTGTGTAACTCATACAAATCAATATATATACTCTTTTGTATGTTTGTTGAATGAACGAATATAAATAATTAACGTGAATAGTATAGATATTTATAATATAAAAACAATACGAATAAGTGATGAAAATAGTATTACTGATGAAAATAAACCTGAACTGTTAACAATTGCAAATCAGATGAAAAATATGTGTTTAAAAAAAAAATGTTTCTAATAATGCTATGTATTTGTTTGTCTTGTTATTGTACAATGGAATTAGATAATTCTACTTATTTACTTGTTTGGTTATTTTTCTTGATCTTGTTTGATAAATATTGAAATTTTATAAGTAATTTTCAATTATTAAGTCGAATCTAAGCTTTGTATAGTAGATTTATGTATGAAACACCTTTTCTGCTTTTTGGACTTCAAAAGGTGGCAACACTGTTTCTGAGAGTGTCGTATGGGTGAGGATGTAAATACTATTTTCTCATACCCATCCTAATTTAGATACTTTAGTTTATTATTCTTTAAAATAATCAATTAATTTAAAAAAAAGAGAGAGAGAGAAAAATCATTTGAAAACTATATACTATTCATTGTAATGATTAATTATTTGTAATATATAAAAAAGTCTGCAAACAATCATCAAAAGTGTGATGATATGCCACGCTCTATGTAAAAAAACAATATGGTCAAAGACTAGATCAAATTTTATTTGAATACAAGATGAAAACTATATTAATTATGATCAAGAGATACGAGATGAAGTTCAAAAATAAAATTAATATATTCGCATTTATATTTAAAAAGTATTCGTTTATTCTTCTAATCGGCAGAGTATTAACATCAATAAACATTCTACATATAAAGATGACCAGGTTCATATGTACAAGTAAATGACATATTCTGCAAAAATTAAGAAATATTTCTTAATCATAAATATATTATTAAGAAGATATTGTGTGTTGATTAAATGTTTTCTTAAATCAGAATCATTTACTTTAAAATTGTTTGTAACACTATTTTTTATTTTCTTCAACAATCATTTTATGATTTAATATTACGACATAAATATATATTTTTTTATATATACACGTGGTTGCTTGAATGTATTACATTGATTTTATAACTTTTTTCGTTCTTTCTTTATTATCCTTCATTAGTTATATGCATCACATATTTATGTGTCTATACAAATATGACGAAGAAAAAGTTAATAACTACAAAAATCTTTTCTCTCCATACTCGATTCGTTACTTTTATACCTTATTTTTTT